CAATACTCATATACGCACGAGCGCACTTTGGATGTGACTGCGCACCGCCTCTGGAGTGTGCGAGTACCGAATAGCTTAAAAAGACGTGCAAATAAATAATAACATTTTCTGACGATGCAACAATGACCCGATTAGGCAAGTGACTATTCTGTCAACTGTCCCGAAACGCGAGTGAAAGTCTTGTATCGCAGCGTGCAGCAGCTCTTGTAGCGCAGACAAGATGCGCCGATGTGAAGCCATTTGAAAAAAAAAGTCAAAGAGAGAAGACACGTACAGCTGAATCACTCACGCTGTTTTCAAATGACTGATTTGATCAGTCTGTGTGGACTGGACTCAGTCTGTAGGTTTGATTATTTACTCATCAAACCTACATGCTATAGGCTATTGAATAAATGTGTGAATATCCATAATTTTAAAGTCAAAAGCTGCGGGAATGAGTAAAACTATGTGATATAGCCTCTGCGCAATCCCGCACCGAAATTCAGGACCTGATTAAACACAATTCTATTATACAGAGTTTTGTGAAATAGATTTCAATGACTTTTCTCAAACTTTCTGGGTTTATTTATTTTTCCAAAACTTTTCCAAGCCTGGAAATTGGTGTTTTAAAATTCCATGACTTTTCCAGGTTTTTCATGACCGTACGAACCCTGAAGTCCACACAGCCATGTCCTGTTGTTGTGATTTCCTGTTTACCCTCACAGCCTCGTTTTCGAATCAAAATGGCGGCGGGCTGAATAAGGCGTAGTGGATCCACGGTTTAAACTGGACTGTGTCGGTGAGGACAACAAAGTCAGTGTCAAGGACAGACTGACGAATGAGATGACTAGCATTGCTATGGTAAGTATATCTTTACATGATTCACGATACACTTTGTCTCACAGAGTAAGAAATTTACATTAGGCTACATTGTTTAAAGCTGCAAATAATTGAAATTGGATTTAGCTAACCCACTTTAGTTTTTAACTGCTGAGATGTTACTTTTGTTAGCAAGTGTAGACTATTGAGATTTTTAAGTGATCTTTTCTCTTTTCCAGCAAAGTCCCCCCACTACTGCCCCCAGCACCCAGTCTTCACTGCCCCCCGTAGAAAAGTAGAGAAAGACCTTAGGCAGTTTTTTTAAAGCAGCAAAGGGCAGTGAGGCAGCAGACCATCTGATGCTTCTTCTCAAGAGAATGATGTTGACATGGAGCTAGGCTCATATCTGCTCACAAGAAACATTAACAGCGAAGATGACCCCTTAGTTTGGTGGAAGGAACACAAGGGACAATATCCCAAACTGTCTGTGCTGGCAAGGAAATACCTCTGTGTCACTGCTACAAGTTCCCCATCAGAAAGGGTTTTCAGCACAGGGGGGAACATTGTAACATGCCTGCGTTCCTCCCTGAAACCTCGAAATGTTGATAGGTTAGTGTTCTTGGCCAAGAACCTTTAAGGTTTTGTGCCGATTGGAGCAAAAAGCACAGGTTCTATTTAGCTATTTTTATTTATTATTGTTAACGTTCTCTTATGTTCAAAAACATAAAGCTTTTAAGTTGTTCACTTTAAGGGGTCTAAAATAAAGAAAAGAGACCATTTTTTGTTACTCCAGCCCTTTATTATACTGAATGTCCTGTGTTTTGTTTTTTTTTGTTTTTTTTGTACTTGAGTGCAATAAATTTTGGTTGAAAAAATGAGAATCGTGATTCCCATGGGGAAAAATCGTGATTCACATTTTAGCAAGAATCGTGCAGCCCTAATTCATATATGAATAGATTTTTACATGCACCTTTAGTTTTCTCTTCCTCTTCTCTAAAGCAGCACAGCATGGCCTCGCTCCCTTTGTTGCATGTTCCCGAGGGCGGGGTTTGGCTGGGTTTGTGATGTCACGAACCCGGGCAGTAACTCGTTGTAGTCCCTACAAGCCGTTTTTGTAGGCATTAAACTGCCAGAATTTTAAAAGACGATACCTCCGTTTGCAATGAACTTTCAGCGCAGCAACTTTGCAGATACTGTTTATGCTCAAACAGCAACATTACACACTAAGGGTGTACTCACACTAGGCACGCTTGCCTTGAACCGAGCGCGATTATCCCCCTCCCCACTCCCCCGCTGGCCTGCACTCACACTTGCACTAAACATTCCGGACCGGAGCACGCTTACGTCATGTATGAGATAACGGAGAAAACCACTTTCGCTAATATTATGCTGAATAATTAATAATAATTCATTTATAATTTATGCCGTGCATTGATTTTCACTTGTATGTATCAGAAAATTATCATGGAGGCAGCTGACGTTAATTAAATAATTTGAAGCTTACTCGCAAACTACATTTCCTGTTCATCAATAAGTAAGAACCAGACCCATTATAAACCTAAATATACTTGATTAAATTAAATTAATTGAAAAGTGTAGTGTAGTAGTAGTAATAGAATATGTTTGTGGTCGTAATGATGACAGTAGAGCACACAAAATAGTATCTGTTCCGTGCTCTGGCACGGTTAGCGCTCACACTGCATGCGTACTGCGCCCGAGCCCAACCGAACTGTGCTAAACGAACCGTGCCCGAGCCCAACTGAACCATGAGCCCAACCGAACCGTACTAAACGAACCGTGCCCGAGCCCAACTGAACCGTGAGCCCAACCGAACCGTACTAAACGAACCGCGCCCGAGCCCAACTGAACCATGCTAAACAAACCGAGCCCAACCGAACCGTGCTAAACGAACCGTGCCCGAGCCCAACTGAACCGTGAGCCCAACCGAACCGTGCTAAACGAACCGCGCCCGAGCCCAACTGAACCGTGCTAAACGAACCGTGCCCGAGCCCAACCGAACCGTGCTAACCGAACCGTGCTGGCACGGAGCGCTCACACTAGTCAAACGAACCGGGCTTTGGGGGTCAATCGCGCTCGGGCACGGTTCAAAATGCCTAGTGTGAGTACACCCTAACTAACGTTAAAAAAGTGAAATCGCAATCAACCACCCCTTTAAGTTGTATTTACAACACTGTTCCAGAACAGTTCAACCCAAATATTCAGATGTGTGCAGCACATTTTATGGAGGACTGTTTCCTGATCCTGGGAGAGTAGACTACAATGCCGGCTGTTCTGACTCACAGACTGTAAGTACGTTTTTATATTTAAAGGATTTGCCACTGA